TGTTAAATGCTGAAATAATTATAATTGTCTTCAATATTATTCAGCCGCAACGACATATACACAATTCATTCCTGGAGAAAATAAACTGTGTATCTCGCAAAATCCAGTTCACTTCGGAATCAGAATGAGACATCGGTGAACTACCATTTCTAGACTGCCTCGTTAAGAGAAAGGAAAATGGGCATTTTAGTATATCCATATTCATGAATAAAACCCACTCCAACAAATATTTAGACTTCAAATCATCACACCCCATCAGCGCAAAGATTTCAGTTGTTTACAGTCTTCTGAGACGAGCACACTGTCTGATGTTAACGAATGAGCAAGAAAAAGAAGAAGAAATATCAAACATTACTCAAACTCTCAAGCGAAACAACTACCCAAGCAACTTCATCAACAAAATCAACACAGACATTAAGTAGGGCCGAAAAACGCATTCCGTAAACACAGAAATCAACAGTCGTCATTCCATATAGAGCAGAAACATCAGACGATATCAGAAGAGTACTTAATCAACTCGACATTAGAGTTTTCTTCAAAACATTGGACATACTTCGAAAGAACCTTGTCCATACAAAAGACCAAATCCCGAAAGATTCTCTATCTAATCGTGTCTACAAAATAAAATGCTCGGAATGTGATGCGATCTACATCGGACAAACATGTTGAGAAATCAAAATCAGAAGAAATGAACACCGTAGAGCATCTCTTCGACCACCAAGAAATCCAGTTGAACTGGAAAAACTTCAAAAATCATCAGCCATAGGTCTACATGCTATAGAATCAGGCCACAAAATTGATTTTGATAATATTGAAATAATCCAGAAAAACTTCAGAAACCACAAAGAACGTCTAATATCAGAAGCACTTTATATCAAGTGGAATCCAAATTGTCAGAATTGAATAGGAATGATGGACTGAAACAGAATCTAACCTGGCTACAACACCCTCCCCCATGAAGTAGCGAAATCAAAACAAATGTCATAAGCAAGATCACTATGTAAACACACACTACTTTCATCAATAAACTTTGAGCCGAGGGTGCTGTTCACAACAAAGTTATGCAAGTGGATTGACTTCAAGCTTTTTTCCCAGATATTTGTATTACATTCATCTGATATCTGGTTTTTTTAATGCGAAGACAAAATCTCTATATCTCTTCATGTGCTACAAAAACAGACTTTATAGCAGACTGTTCCGTCTGACTCTAATGTCAGAAAGAACAACCAAACTGTAAATTCATCATACATCAATTTGTGTAATTTATATAATAACTTATCCATGCCTGTACAATTGGTATGTTCCTCCATAAACAGGAAGAAATATATTATTATTATTATAATTCTACACACTGATAAAATGCAACAATCTACACTTGATTTTGTTATCTTTACCAATTCACCAACTTGACAACAAAGAACAACTCAGACTGACGAACGATGATCATGTATTGCACAATCTACACTTAGTTTTGTTATCTTTGCCAATTCACCAACTTGCCAACCTGAAATGACCCTAGACTGACGAACGATGATCAAGTTAGTAAACTTTGTTTTGATATAATAACAGATGTACTATTACCTTCGATATTTTGTTTTAGTGATCTTCATTGTTATTTTGACTTTCAATATGTCCTCTTAACTTGAACTAAGTCTATTTTTCTCACCCCTTAACTCTTTGTTATATGTATGCTGAGGGGAATTTGCAAATTGAGAAAGCTATTAGCATTAAATAGCGAAACGTCAGTAAAAACAATATGGTTTTGTTTTTCATCCACTGGGAAATACAAAACAACCTTTATTATGATGAATATGATATACCCATTGCCCAAATTTTTTCAAAGCTTTAAAAACCAACTTAGTTTTGACATATCATCCAAGGCAGTTTCTTTGTAAACAGGGTAGAAATACTTTAGACGCTTCTGCTGTGTTTTACCACAACATTGTATCCTCCTTCGATAAAGGGGCCAAGTATGTCCGTTGTACGTTCCTTGATTACACATTTGCTTTCGACTCTGTACCTAGAGGCCTTTTGTTAAACAAGCTCAGCCTTACACAAACTGAGTCCTAGGCTATCAACTGGCTGCACTCTTACTTCTCTAATAGGATGCAGTGCACGGTTTATAATGGTGTAGCTTACTCTCATTTCCTTACTGAAGCTGATGTTCCTTAGTGTGCTGTTCTCTCTCCGTTTATCTTTTCCTTCTTCTCACATGACTTATCGCTTTCAGATGAAATCAACTTCGTCAAATATCCAGATGACCTGACTGTTTGGCTTCCCGTTAACTCTCAGTCAGACTGTTTCAAATCAAATAGCTTCCTGTCGGACATCGGTCAGTGGTCTAAACTAAATGGCCTCATGCCTGACTGCTCCTTCAGGCATAAACGAGATCTACAAACACTAGTAAGCACTCATGAAGGCTGTAGCATTGAGGGGACTAAAATTTAAGCAAAGTCTAATGCGAAATACCTCGGACTAGTTCTATCTTCTGAACTTACTTGGACATCTCATATCCAAACGATTTCTAAGAAAGTGTTTCGTCTAACGTACTCCATTAAGAAACTCAGACTAACTGGAGTCCCTCAACCTCTGCTTTCACAATTTGTCAACTCTCGTATCCTACCTATTCTACTTTACTGCTCCCCGTTAGTCTTTATTGGGTTACTGAAAAAGGACTATACCATCCTGAGAAGGATGTTGAAGGTAGTTAGTAGGACTAGCGGTGTAAAACCCAGCTTGTCACTACATTAGTGGATAAGCATCTGAATACATGCCAAAATGGTCTAAAACCATACTCTCCGACCCTCATCACCCCCTATATTCCCAACTCTCTCCTTGCATCTCATCAGGTAAAACCAGAAATCAGTATAAAATAATATATGCTTGTACAACCAAGTATAGGAACTCAACGATACCATATTTGGCCCGTGTCAGCCAAGTCTCATAAACCGTTAATGCCCAGCTCTTGCTACGCTCGGGCTCACGCTGTTCTTAGAAGATTTCTCAAAAACGCTTAGTTATAACGGACGCAAAAACCAAAACACCGATCTGCCGTTTGATATTTCTGTATTGTTACACCAATATATAAAAGGAATAAGCGAACTAAGCAAACTAAGGTCTGAAAACTAATATTACAATAATAAATCATTGTTACTTCTGACGATGTTTCACTCTTCTTTCTGAACAGCGACCGATGAGACGATGACTGTCGTATTGATGCCTCCGCGAAAATCGAGGAAGTTGATTTTGAGCAAACAACCAAGAATTGATCGTTCAATCTTCAACTCCATTGACATTCCCCGGCAAAAAGGGATCCAACCCTTTTTACCTTCACGACCAATGCACGTTGACTTGGATGCCGTTGCGAGAACCTGGGTCACACGGATAGAGCTGAAATGGAAAACAAACAGAAAAGCCAACACACCACAAGCATACCCACAGCACAATCTCACACATCAATGACGACCTGCGCTTCCAGTTAAAGGTATCCTCTTGACATCTTGCAACACAATCGCCACTTACTAGAATGACTCTTGCAGAATGCAATGTGACCATAGCAGCACCTCATGATACTCTTCAAGCATCCTCTTTTCTATTCACTATCAATTATCACTGAAATCGCTTGTCACTCATTCTGCCTCAGTTCTAGTAGCGGTGACGCATGCGAGCCTCAGTCGTTTACACTCTTTCTCCCCGGCGTGTCGGTTCGCAGCTAACAATTATCTCCGTGTGCATTTCATTCTCAGCAATAGCCTAGCCTCCCCGGCGTATACGACCCATCTGCTGTCCTTAACATCAATCAATTCATTCACGGATGTAGAAGACTCGAAACAACTTCAGAAATAATCACGACGAAAATTTTAACAAAATTACGCAATAAAATCAAGACACGAAAACAACAAGTAAACACAATGAATCCAAAATACACCAATTGATATGACACACCACACGTATATACAAATAGTACAAACAACCTCGCCGATCATCTCTTGGTGGAATTCCTTTGAAGAATTGCAGGACTTACACCAGTACGCCTACAAACCTTCACAGGTTGACGATTGTAAGTTGTGGAATGTCCGGACACAAACAAGATTAACCAACAATTACAATAATTGGAACTCACACAACTATTTAACACAAACATATGTACAATCACCACATCAAATGTTGTGGATTCTGTCTTGACAAACTACCCTTGAAGAACTGTAGGACTTACAGCAGTACGCCTACATTCCTTCTCAGGTTGATGATCCAAGTGGAAGTCGTCCGGACACAAACAGAATTACCAACAGCTAGATGACAGATGATATCAATTCAGTATATACAATATGAACATATGTACAAGATCATACACCAAGCACATTGGACTGCTCATTGATGCGCTACCCTTTGAAGAACTGTAGGACTTACACCAGTACGCCTACAACCCTTCTCAGGTTGACGCCCTAGGTTGGAAAATCGTCGCAGAGTTCATTTGCTAACTTCCTTCTATCAGCTATATCCTCAAATCTGAACGGCAACACGCCCATGTCATTGTATCGTAGAATATAGATGACGAACAAACAAACGACATATCTCATCAACCAAGTATAGAAACAGAGTAATTTACACCAAAGATAATAGCATTCAAATAGTAACTTGAAACTAGAAATGCCTTTATTCGTGCAAGTCAATTTAACAATTACTCTCTCGTTTACACTTGGCTTATCCTCACCAAACTGAGCAATATCTTTCGTCTTTTCAAACGCACCAATACTATCATAGTCATTGCAGAAGATACTAGAGTTGATGGGCATCTGTTTCATTGTGGATGAAAACACCAACGATGACTGAGTGACACAAGGTGATGAAGTTAGCGGTGGATCAGAAGCTGTTCTTTTCCGGCTTTCAGATAGTTGTCCAACTGCAAGATTACCACCACTGCTGTCTTTCACTACTAGTTCGGGTTTAGCACTATCATCTGATGATAGGTGGGCTACACGCTGATCAATTACACTGACTGTCTCACAAGTATGCACATCTTCTGGAACTGCATCTGCGTTCAATTCTACTTCACGTTGTAGTTGTACAGAACCTTTATTTAACTTAGCAGTAGTAGGCATATCCCTCATCTCATCATGATCAACCAAAGACAAATCTGCACTATCATGATCATTACCACAAATATTCAATTTACCGTCAATTTCATCATTTTCAAACTCTTTAATAACAGAAGTAGACAATTTTGGTTCCTCCTCACAAATCATTAAAGGTTTTATAAATTCACTCTGACTAGTAATACCTTGTAAACTTTTGGAGTCAGAACTCCACTCTGAAGCAGTAACTCTATTCTGTGACACTTTATTCAACAACGGCTTACCAGTTGCAACTACAGAATTTTTCACAACACCGTTATCGTCACACAATTCGGAGTAAGGCCTGGAGTTTACATTTAGCTTATCACTGAACTTGCTCACTGGTTCACAGTTCACTTCTGTATGCACCTCTTGCACACGTGTAGAACAAAGCCGTGTTTGTCTTGCATCTTGTAACTTATCTGTTGAGGATGTACTACGAAACCTGTTACACTCACTAGGTCTATATGCATTACTAGACATCAGGGAGCCTTCTCGATATCCACCTCTCTGAGGCCTACTCGTCATCAATCAGTGCGTTTTACCTTCAGACTGCTCTATTCTATGGGTGAGATCTAACAGACTGGCGAACTTGCTCATAGATTGATTGACACTAGTATTTACCAGTTTCAGGATATCATCAAACCTTGGCTCGATACCCTCATCCTCCATACGGGAGCTTATCTTCACCCACTTCCTTTGCAGTCGAGTAGGTAGACGTCTTGCTATTACTTCTAGTATAAAACTCGAGTTGAGGTCACTCATGCGATTCATCGAAATCATTCCATTCTTGTAAATTAGCAAATTATCCAAAAACTCAGTGAGTGCCTGGGAGTCATCCTGTAATTGACCACCATTACCCTCAACAGCCTCGAATAATTTCCCTGCAATCATCGAGGGTCTTCCAAACCTTTGACGTAATATGCTCATAGCCTCGTAGTAGCCCTCTTTTGGCTTCATAAACTTACAACACTGTATAGCTCTTGCAGCATCTCCAGTGCAATATCTCATCAAATACATTAACTTCGTTTCATCATTTAATAAAAACTACTCAGCATGATCTCAAACTCCTTTACAAATTGTAAATAATCGGCCGGGTTTCCATCAAAACACCGTGGTTCTAATTTAGGGAGTTTGATGTACCTATTATCCCTGAACGGCGAAACAGTAACATCAACCATGTCATGCTTAACATCAGACACATCGTTACGAGTAACAGACAAGTCACAATGACTTACTTTCCTGTTTGCATCCAAGACACTCCGTCCCTTCTTTGACCCAGGCATTGTTGAACTTGACCCAATTCCAAAACGTTCCAGATATTGCTTGTTCAAAGAGGACTTGACCGGCACCAGGAAAACTGAACGGTGACTATCCAAACTTTCACCAACTGTCAATGGAGTTGAAGATTGAACGATCAATTCTTGGTTGTTTGCTCAAAATCAACTTCCTCGATTTTCGCGGAGGCATCAATACGACAGTCATCGTCTCATCGGTCGCTGTTCAGAAAGAAGAGTTATAAATATCGTTAGAAGTAACATAACGATTTATTATTGTAATATTAGTTTTCAGACCTTAGTTTTCTTAGTTTGCTTAATGATACTTGATTTATATGCTGGTGTAACAATACATAATACTCAAGTCAACAATTGGTGTTCTGGTTTTTTCGTCCGTTATAACTAAGCGTTTCAAAAATCTTCAAGGAACAGCGTGGGCCCGAGCGTAGCGAGAGCCGGGCATTAACGGTTTATGAGACGGTAGCTGACACCAACTGTTTCAATCCGCCAGATCTGTTTCTATCGTCAGAAACTGTCAATCACGTCTCATAAACCGTTAATGCCCAGCTCTTACTACGCTCGGACTCACGCTGTTCTTAGAAGATTTCTCAAAAACGCTTAGTTATAACGGACGCAAAAACCAAAACACCGATCTGCCGTTTGATATTTCTGTATTGTTACACCAACATATAAAAGGAATAAGCGAACTAAGCAAACTAAGGTTTCTGACGATGTTTCACTCTTCTTTCTGAACAGCGACCGATGAGACGATGACTGTCGTATTGATGCTTCCGCGAAAATTGGGGAAGTTGATTTTGAGCAAACAACCAAGAATTGATCGTTCAATCTTCAACTCTATTGACAGCCCGTGTTCTAAGTGACAGAGACAATGTTAAGCGCGAGACCTATGACTTGCTTATTTGTTAATAACATAATTCTGGCCCTTGTTGTTTCCCCCATATACTCTTTTATTTGTACTCTATAGTGAACAACCTTCTTAAACATACTTATCTACTTGAAGTTGTTATTATTGGCTTACTTTTTATTCTTGGCGGCCTGCTTAAATCTTGGGCTAGCAAAATTTCCATCCTACATATTGCATCTATTTCCTCGGATTTATTTTGTTTTAATCATTCAATTATGTATGCAAGTCGCATTACCTACTCCCGCAATTATTTAAAATGTCTTCAACCCGTTGATTTACAAGTATATAATAACGTTAAGGAAAAGCATCATGGAGGTTGGCAGAGATCATTAAAGTGTACTCCAATGCATCAGATGACTGTTCCTGTGATTATGAGCACAAATTGCAGGTCATTATCGAACAAGATTAACTACTTGCATTCTCTATTATACTCAAGTGCATATTGTAATACTGGTGTAATCACTCTTCAAGAGACTTGGCTCCATGATTCATATGACGACAATTTAGTCTCCTTAAGTGGGTTCACAATCTACAGACAAGACCGATGCAGCTCGAAGAAGAAGAGAGGTGGTGGTGTTGCCACTTTTATTAATTCTCAGTGATCTACTGCCAACAACGTCTGCTTCATATTCTCAAATGACAATATCGACTATTGTCAGCCATGTCTCATAAACCGTTAATGCCCAGCTCTCGCTACGCTCGGGCCCACGCTGTTCTTAGAAGATTTCTCAGAAACGCTTAGTTATAACGGACGCAAAAACCAAAACACCGATCTGCCGTTTGATATTTCTGTATTGTTACACCAATACATAAAAGGAATAAGCGAACTAAGCAAACTAAGGTCTGAAAACTAATATTACAATAATAAATCATTGTTACTTCTGACGATGTTTCACTCTTCTTTCTGAACAGCGACCGATGAGACGATGACTGTCGTATTGATAATAATAATAATAATAATTTTTATTTCTGTAACAGAAACCAGCCATTTTTACAGGCATGAACATATGTACATTTATGAAAACTTATAGAATATATAATATGATTTGTTAATTTAGAAATAAGTTGAATACTGGTAAATGTGAGAGAAACATTTAAAATGAAGTGTACAAATAAGGAAATAGATATAGCGTCAAATCTAAACTGTGATTGAAAAAAAAATACATGTCAATTTCACGCGGGAACCATAAATGGTTGCGTTAGTTGAGGAAGGTAAGTGGCATTTCTGTACAGGTGCTGACGTATTACATAAGAGATGCAGAATAAACAATAACTATCAGTAAATCATTCAGAAAGAGCTTTAAAGTCTATTAAACTTTAAATTTACCCGTAAGTACATCATATTTGTGACATTTCCAGTTGTTTATGAGACCCACTTTGAACTTGTCAGCAGATTTTATAATACCGATGATCCCGTTATTCACCAGATGAGCTAGCAATATCACGAATAAGTAGAGAAAGCAGTATGTTTGAAAAGAGAAGAAGACACAAGAAAACCAGCAGACAGGTGCAGATCTGCACCTTCAGTATTTAAAAGGTGTTAATAATTCAAAATATATAACAGGCATGGGGTTCATCGTTTTTTATTGTTTTTTTTTCAGGAAATATTATTTTCCCGATATTTTACAGTCTTTTCTGCGAACAATTAGTTTAAAGTGAAAGACAGGTGATAATTTCACCTACTTACGAGGTTTAAAAGGAGTAAAACACAAAAGTCAGAGTGCGTGAGCTATGTAAAAGAAAAGCGAGGGCCTAGTAATGTATGTTTTTCTGAAGTATACAGTTCGGTGTCCTTCTGAAGTAGCGGACTCATACCATTTACTTTCATTCGGGAGTTTGCGTCTAAACTTCGGCTCTAGGCAATTTTCAACTAATATTTCTTTTTTCATTATTTTTTTTTTTTTTTTAGTTTTTGTTTATTCTCATTTTGAAGAAGCCATCCGAACTCAGGAGCCATAGCAATAGAGTGCTGTCCCACAGATAAGGGTGGTTCACATATGTCCCCACCATCATATCCGCTGACTAGCAGTCACCACCCTCCCACCTTTTTTGTGCAAGGCCCTGTCGGAATGCTTCATTTTTTTTAAATTATTTATTTATTTTTTTAAATTTCTGTTGCAAAATGCCACAAACTTTTTGTTTGTCCAGCTATTTATTCGTCGACTTACTCAAACTTATGGTATGAATGACTACTTTCAGAAGAACATCATGTATGTTTCATCTTTTACAGCATTTTGAAGACGAAAAATGTAAGAAAGAAAGGCTATCTGAGACTTCATTTTAGATATAAACAAATGTAGTTTAGAAAATCAGGGAATAATCGTGCAGCATTGAGCAAATAAGCAGTGATAAGTTATAATATGTTGTTCTAGAAAATTTGAACATACAGGATTATAGTAATAGAATAGTAAGATAAGATTCATTTTAGATATAAACAAATGTAGTTTAGAAAATCAGGGAATAATCGTGCAGCATTGAGCAAATAAGCAGTGATAAGTTATAATATGTTGTTCTAGAAAATTTGAACATACAGGATTATAGTAATAGAATAGTAAGATAAGATTCATTTTAGATATAAACAAATGTAGTTTAGAAAATCAGGGAATAATCGTGCAGCATTGAGCAAATAAGCAGTGATAAGTTATAATATGTTGTTCTAGAAAATTTGAACATACAGGATTATAGTAATAGAATAGTAAGATAAGATTCATTTTAGATATAAACAAATGTAGTTTAGAAAATCAGGGAATAATCGTGCAGCATTGAGCAAATAAGCAGTGATAAGTTATAATATGTTGTTCTAGAAAATTTGAACATACAGGATTATAGTAATAGAATAGTAAGATAAGATTCATTTTAGATATAAACAAATGTAGTTTAGAAAATCAGGGAATAATCGTGCAGCATTGAGCAAATAAGCAGTGATAAGTTATAATATGTTGTTCTAGAAAATTTGAACATACAGGATTATAGTAATAGAATAGTAAGATAAGATTCATTTTTTTAGAAAATCAGGGAATAATCGAGCATTGAGCAAATAAGCAGTTAAGTTATAATATAAGTTGTTCTAGAAAATTTGAACAATACAGGCTCTGGAGATATTTTAATACCAGTCGTCTTCAGTTGATTTGCATCTGGAATTTGAGATTGAACCTTAGCATACTGAAATACTCATAATACAATATTATCAGGGATATATGCAAAAATATTTGAAGGAAATTAAAAAAAATTTAAAATTTAAGGCTGATTAAGAATAGGTGTCTAGGGTTGTGAAAGCAATCATAGTGAAAGTGACTGTCACACATAGGGTTTACAGATTTCAGGAG